ATAAAGGGGGAACCAGAGAAGTTATAATATTCAAAGAAATAAATATGATAAAATAAACTGCACTACTGTATATATTAAATTTGGGAATATTGGACTATCATAAACATGGTTAAAAGTTAAAACTAAAATCTGCACAAAAACTTTTGAAAGTAGCAAATGTAAAGCAGAATCAAGTTCAAGAATCATAAAACTTGAGAAAAATGCATGCACATCACGAGTTCAGAACACCCACCCTTTATTAATCATATTCAAACACTAATGCTATGATCACTTATGATCTCATTTTGTAAAATTTGTCCTCACACTTCTTTTAAGGAAAAAGGTGAAATCCATTTTCTTTTTCAGAATCATACAATTTATCTCATTTCCACTTCTCCAATCATCAATCACATTCAACAATGAATTCAGTTAAGAAAATTACCACATCAACCATTCACTGTCTCTTACATTTCCAAATGATCAACCAAATCCAACCATCTTTACTACACTTCCATTTCATAATGAACCACACAACAAAAACTCATTTCACACGTTTTCCAAACAACCTTTCCAAATGATTCTCTGCTAAAATGGAAACGAAAAGAGATGCCGAAACTAAATGAGCACTAAATATTCAGGAAAAAAAATGCTATCTTGCCAACATTGTTCAATTTAACTGTTCACATATATATCACTATCATTAAATTAACACTACAGGAAAAAAAGACAAAATTCATCACCTGCACGATGCCTCCAATTTGCGGCTCCCTAATGGAAGCAAAATTCTGCAGAGTAAGCCCATATTCTTTGATCCCATCCACCAGCTGCTGAACGCTTATCCCAGTCTGAACCCTAACCCGATGGGCCGGATCCTCTGCTTCTTCTCATGGCACTCCCTGACAATAGATTCGAGCTCGGATAAGGACTCGGGCTGGAGATCGGCCGGGAGGGGGGCGCACCGGAAAAGGTGGGCCTTCTAGTGCTTGGCGTTCTCGGGGAAGGGGAAGGAGTAGTACGTGGCGTCGGCGGAGCCGAGGACGAGGGCCGTGTAGCCGATGTACTTGGCAGAGCTCAACGTCGGAGGTGGAGGAAGGCGGCGGGGTCGGGGTGAGGGTGGAGCAGAAGGGGCGGCGGAGGACGGAGTGGACAGAGCGCCGGAGATTGTGAGCTCGGAGCATTTGGAGGGATTTCTTGAAATGGGGGTTTTAGAGGTTTTAGAGAAGATCAAGAAGTTGGAAATAGATATATAAATTCAAGTTATAATTTAAAGAAAAAATGACATAATTTATGAGTTTAGAGTAATGATTTAATTTTTGAGTTTAGTGTAAAATGACATATTTTTCTAGAAAAAGAATGATATGTTTGTTGGTATTTTAAAATTGCTCTTAAACTAACTTAGCAATTCTTGTGCTAGGCTTGGCTCGAAACTACAGTTGTTCTGCTTGTTAAGACCAGTTAGTGTAATTTTTCCAACTATTATTTGACTCCTTAAATTTCGAGTTCAGTTCATCAAAATTCAAATTTAAATCAATAATTTTGATAAATGAGTTGAGTTTGAATTTGAGCTTGTTTAGAGCTATATTGTTTACCGAACTATGAATATTGCTCCAAAATTGATGAATCAAAAGAATTCAGAAATTTCACAGCCTACTATTGCGAACTACACTACTGCAAACTAACTAAAATTCCAGACCTAAACCTAATTACCTAAACATAAAATCCCACGTAAATTTTCGATTCAAGATTTTCTTTTTTATATAGTCGGGAATGCTTGAAACCCATAACCTGTTCTTCTTTCAAGAAAAACATCATACATAAATTCTGCTTCCCAAAAAATGTTAATCTTGTTAGAAAATTATGGTACTCTACTCTACTCAAGACCCAGTCCACGTGTTTACAGTTAAAGTTAGCGCCTTTACCTCATTAAAGCTCACACCCTCAGAGCCGAAGCTCAAGAGAACGCACCCAAGGTGTTTGTGCAAATGCCAACTCAATATACCCTGCTCGAGCTACTGCATGAAACCAAGAATAAAAACCTCGAATTCGAGCCTGCCAATGGCCTGCTAGTAGATGCAGCTGTCGTGGGTGTCGGGCCTGCCAGGCTCAACATGGCCCAACAAGTCTCCGAGGCTGGCCATTCTGGGCTTAACGTGCAAGTTGCTATTGATAAGCCTCTGTAGTTCTTGATGCAACTGGTTTTTTTCGAGATTATGGCCAAAAGGGTATTTCCGGCACGCATCCAATGCGTCTCGGTTGGAGATTATGGCCAAGGGCACGATTCCTTTCGTAGGTACGATCAACTACTTGTTAATGAACTTTGTATGTTTGGTGTTCTTTTGTATTTGATGTGTTGTCCTAATAATTGCTTTAATCTTGGGCAGTGAATAACTCATGTGCATGAATATGTAACTAATGACAAAATCATCTCAAAAATCCAACAAATTGATCTTGGCAAGTTACAGTTACAGATCATATCAGTCTTTAACGTAAACTGGCAAAGTTAACTTTTTTGACATACATATTACATAGAACGATTTGAGCTACCAAAAATGTTTGAGAAAAAATGCAAGCAACAAGAGGATTGCATTCCATGATGATGTGTTTGAGATAATAAAAAGAGATTGAGTTACCGAATCTGCAAAAGTAGCAACGTGCACTAATCCAATCCACAGCTTGCCCTTTATGCTGTTAAAATGAATTTTTTACTTTTTTTCCAGCTTCAAAATTCAAATCAAGTTCCTCAACAATGGCTTCCTCCTCCTCCTCCAAATGGAATTGCCTCAAATTCCCGTTCGCCATTCTCTTAATCGGCCTTCTTTTCCTCATCACAAACTACATCTTCTTCACCGTCAACTACGACACTCGACACCTCCAAGACGAGTGGTTCGAAAAACCCGACGAAAAAACGGGCCCCGAGTGGTACGAGGCCATTGCGCGAGAGTTCAAAGACGAATCTTTCAATGTGGGCCTGGTGAATGTGGGCCCGCCTGTCCGCAGCCCAAAGGCGAATCTGCTGAGAGTGGATTTCGACCGAGTGGACGAAAGTGTGAGGTGGGCCCACTTAGCCCCCGAGAGGATAGACGAGAACTCGACTTGCCCCGGGATGCCAATGCCAAGGTTCGAGGATTATCGGGATCTCGACGTGGTGGTGGCCGGAGTCGAGCATTGTAACGATGTTGTTTTCAGGCTGCAGGTGAACTTGGTGGTGGCTAATTTGCTCGTTAGGAGCGGAAGGAAAGAGAAGAAGCGGCCGGTTTACGCGGTGTTTGTGGGGAAGTGCGAGCCGATGTGGGAGATTTTCAGGTGCGACGATTTGTTGTCGAACAAGGGAGACTCGCGGGTTTACAAACCGGAGTTGGCGAGGATTGAGGAGTTGGTCGACATGCCGGTCGGGCCGTGCCAATTCGTGCCTCCATTTTCACATTTTGGTGAGGTTTTTTTTGTGTTTTTTTTTTTCCTTGATTAGTTCTTTGCATATTTGTGTGCCTCCATTTTCTCATTTTTTGTGAGGATTATGTCTTCTGGATTAGTTGCTTACATATTTGTGTGCCTCCAATTTCAAATTTTGGTGAGGGTTATTATGTCTTTTCTTGATTACTTGTTTACATATGCAACAAGAACACTTGTTCCTTGAATCAAAAACAAATGAGTAACATGTAGCAACCATTTAAAGATTACTTGATTACTCAATTGCTTAATTAGCATCTACATAGTAACTAGAACATGAATTTTTTTTTCTTAAGGTGATCAAGACTTGTGGAAGAACACTAACCACATAACAAAACAAATCAACAACCACAACAAAAAACACGACGTAAACCGCCGTTCGAAAGAGGCTTACGTCACGGTCCTCCACACGTCAGAAGACTACGTTTGCGGAGCAATAGTCCTAGCCCAAAGCATCATCCAATCGAACTCCACAAAAGACCTAATCCTCCTAGCCGACGACAAAATCTCACCTCAATCAATCAACGCCCTCCGAGCCGCGGGTTGGCAAACGAAGCTCATCCAACGCATACGAAGCCCTTACTCCAAACAAAACACATACAACGAGTGGAACTATAGCAAGCTCCGAATATGGCAACTCACGCAATACGAGAAGATCATATTCATCGATTCGGACCTCATAGTCAACACGAACCTCGACAAGTTCTTCACCTACCCGCAGCTCACGGCTGCGGGCAACTACCAAAAGCACTTCTTCAACTCGGGGCTCATGATAGTCGAGCCATCCGAGTGCGCTTTCGAGACCCTCGTGAAGAAGATGACCGTGGTCGAGTCGTACAACGGTGGGGATCAAGGGTTTTTGAACGAGATGTTCGCGTGGTGGCACAGACTTCCGGCTCAGACGAACTACCTTAAAGTGTTTGTGGATGATAAGGATCGGTTGCATTATGTGGACAGGAAGTACGTTTTCGCGGTGCATTACACGGGTTTGAAGCCGTGGAAGTGTGAGGATGAGGAGAGCGATTGCAATTGGGATGTGCTGGAGTTTCATCGGTATGCGAGCAACTCGGCTCACAAGATATGGTGGAAGGTTTATAAGAGTATGCCAGAGGATTTGAGAGCTTATTGCATGCCATATAGAGGCAAGAATGGTGCTCTTTCTCCTAGGGGTCTATAGCTTAGCTATAAACATGGATTTAATAGTCTTCTTTTTTTTTCTTTTTTTTTTTCTTCCTTCTCTATGATATCCGTTGTTTAGTTTCTAGTTAGCCCGCACATCATTTTCGGTTTTTTTACCAAAAAAAAATAATTTTAAGTTAACTGAACAGAAAAAAATAAAAAAAAAAAGTATGGAAAAAAATCAAAAATTCGTATTCAGTGAATACGTTTTCTTCACAAATTTAATTGAAAAACGTATTTTGAATTTGATTTTTNTTCTCAATCATATATGTAGTTTAGTTTCTAGCTAGCCCCCATATCATTTTTTTAATATTTTGTTGATCCAACAGTGAAAAATAATTTAGAGATTGTAGTAAGATCGAATATAGCATTCTCGTGACTGATGAACCAACTAGAAATCTCGGTTCTATTTTATGTTCATTTACGTTATTGATTAATGTTTTTAGACCTCTAGTCGGGTCGATTCAAAGCAGGAGTCAGTTCTAGACTTCTAGTTGATCATTTTAATTTGTCTACAATCGGGCATTGACTCGGTCGAGTCTAACTCATTTGACCTAACAACTTTTTATCTTTTCAATTTTTTAAAAATATTTTAAATTTTAAAATTAGAATATTGTGTATATGATAATGCGGTAAATATCTATAATGAGATGGAATTTTAATAATACTTATCTCATTATATAGATATTTACCGAAAGAAAAACCGAATTTTAATAATACTTATCTCATTTTAATAAAACCGAATGAAAAAATTACCAGCAATTTTTTTCCCTTTTAACGACATGAAATTGATTTGTAAAAGGATCTATTAGAAAAACTTGCTAGGCATAATATTTTATACTTAATTTAAGCCTACTTCAGGTAAACTGGTAAAGCAAGTCACGACATATTTTTTATTGATTAAATATTTCTACGAAATTATAACATAAAATAAAAATCTGTAACCGCGTTGCCAATTTGCCGTACTCCATTGAAGAAGTTGATCAGAATTCAGAACACGAGAGACTATGGAGGCCAAGATCAATCAATTCTTCGAGTCTGTCACTAGTTTCTTCGGCGGCGGAGATCAAATCCCTTGGTCGACCCCTGATGTTGTTCGAGTACGCAGTTTTTCCCCTTTAGTTCGTTCATTTTGTTGTTAATACATTTCCTTTTGCTATTTGTTCTATTCGTTT